TCTGAGTCGGACTGGAGCTCTCTGCCCTTTACCAATCCAGCCACGGGCCCATCCATCTGGCCCATCAAGACTCACTCTCATTTCATCAGTCCATAAAACCTTAGAAAAATCAGTCTTGAGATATTTCTTGGCCCAGTCTTGACGTTTCAGCTTGTGTGTCTTGTTCAGTGGTGGTCGTCTTTCAGCCTTTCTTACCTTGGCCATGTCTCTGAGTATTGCACACCTTGTGCTTTTGGGCACTCCAGTGATGTTGCAGCTCTGAAATATGGCCAAACTGGTGGCAAGTGGCATCGTGGCAGCTGCACGCTTGACTTTTCTCAGTTCATGGGCAGTTATTTTGCGCCTTGGTTTTTCCACACGCTTCTTGCGACCCTGTTGACTATTTTGAATGAAACGCTTGATTGTTCGATGATCACGCTTCAGAAGCTTTGCAATTTTAAGAGTGCTGCATCCCTCTGCAAGATATCTCACTATTTTTGACTTTTCTGAGCCTGTCAAGTCCTTCTTTTGACCCATTTTGCCAAAGGAAAGGAAGTTGCCTAATAATTATGCACACCTGATATAGGGTGTTGATGTCATTAGACCACACCCCTTCTCATTACAGAGATGCACATCACCTAATATGCTTAATTGGTAGTAGGCTTTCGAGCCTATACAGCTTGGAGTAAGACAACATGCATAAAGAGGATGATGTGGTCAAAATACTAATTTGCCTAATAATTCTGCACTCCCTGTAATTCTATACACAACATGTGAGGTCCTGCACGTAATCCGGTGTTTAATTGTGTACACCATTCCAGATTTTGGGTGACGGAAGGTTTTACCCGGTATCATAGAATTGAATGCCAGACAGTTCAAACAGCGAAAACATCCTGCTGTTGTCACTTTCTGTAATGACTGTGTTGTGGACACTATATCTGCATGCACCAATATGTGTGTGTAAATATACATATATAATATGTGTGTGTAAATATACATATATAATATGTGTGTGTATATATATATGTGTATATATATATATATTTGTGTGTATATGTATATATATATATATATGTGTGTGTGTGTATATATATATATATATATATATATATATTTAAAATATGTGTGTGTATATATAAAATATGTGTGTGTGTATATATGTATATATATATATATATATATATATATATGTGTGTGTGTATATATATATATATATCTATATATGTGTGTGTGTGTGTGTCTATATATATATATATATCTATATATGTGTGTGTGTGTCTATATATATATATATATATATATATATATATATATATATATATATATATATATATATATATATGTGTATATATATGTTTTAAGGCCGTTTGGCCTGTATTTGTGGGAGGGGCTTAAATTAATTCACTCCCCTATATAAGGGACACCCCTTACCTGACTCATATCGCTTGAGGTCAGCATCAGAATGATTTCCACTTCCGGGTCATCCAGGCGCCATTTTACCTGATTATTCCATGAGGTTTTCTAAGCTGAGCTGTGTCAGGAATCCAGCCACAGGCTTTTCCGACCTACCACCTTCTTTCTTCAATCTATCGCTGTGGATGGTGTCCAAGTGACTCACAAACCGTAAGTTGACCTACCCATTACGCCAGGCATCAGTCCCACGGCACCATGCACGGGTCAGGTCCTCACTTTACGGCTGCATTTTTGTCGTCTAGAGGTCTGTTCTAAAACCATTGCGTGTTCATGCATCATTTGTTGCAAAACTACGGTCTTTGCGTACGCTACAGACTTCTTGGAGCATTATGGCATTTCATGTGTACAAACCCAGCGAACCACTGCATTTTGCTGCACTGGCCCTACGGTCGTGCGGTGTACTACAGGCTTCTCGGAACATTATTGCATTTCATGTGGCAAAACCAGCGAACCGCGTTTTTCACCTACACACTGACTAATGATGCATTCGATTGTACTACGGAAAACGCTGTAGGCGTTGTTTGCCTTTTTTCATGTACAAACCAATAAACCACTGCATTTTCACCTACACACTGACCCCTACTGGTCTTTCGGTAGACTACAGGCTTCTTAGACATTATCGCATTTCATGTACAAATCAACGAACCACTGCATTTGCGCCTACACAATGACCCCTACCGGTCATTCTGTGTACTACAGGCTTCTCCGACATTATTGCATTTCATGTACAAACCAACAAACCACTTAATTTTTCACCTACACACTGTCCCCTATCAATCATTCGGTGTACTACAGGCTTCTTAGACATTATTGCTTTTCATGTACAAAACAATAAACCACTGCATTTTCACCTACACACTGACACCTACCAGTCATTCTGTGTACTGCAGGCTTCTCAGACATTATTGCATTTTATGTACAAACCAACAAACCACTGCATTTTTCACCTACATACTGACCCCTATCAGTCATTCTGTGTACTACAGGCTTCTCAGACATTATTGCATTTCATGTACAAACCAACAAACCACGGCATTTTCGCCTACATGCTGACCCCTGCCGGTCAATCGGTATACTACAGGCTTCTCAGACATTATTTCACTTCATAAGCAAACAAACTATCTACAGCATTTTCGCTTTTATACTGACTCCTATCTGTCAAACGGTAGGATTAACCCCTTAAGGACACATGACATGTCTGACATGTCATGATTCCCTTTTATTCCAGAAGTTTGGTCCTTAAGGGGTTAAAGGGTGTTTTTACCATACAATCAGCATTTATGACCCCTACTGGTCAACAGCAAAACTGTCTTCACATGTCATATACAATTTACCAGCCAATATAAATTACACATAAGATTGTTTTAACCCCTTAAGGACACAAGACATGTGTGACATGTCACGATTCCCTTTTATTCCAGAAGTTTGGTCCTGAAGGGGTTAAACATAACCATAAACCATAATGAAACTTCAGCACGGGCTCAAATTCAGGTCTAATTCACAATAATTAACATTTCACATCAAGACCAACAGTGGTTCTATCAACACTGCCACCTACAGGTCTGTCAAGTACATTGACAATTTTCATGGGGTTTTACAAACACCAAAACACTTACACCTATAGGTCAACAGACAAACAACATTTCACATACCAATCAGTATTCAACTACACTGCCACCTATAGGGCACTCAGCAGATCTCCAGTGCACTTGCATTTTGCAACACCATGTTCACTGACCCCTACCATTCAATAAGACATACAATTCACATAGCAAGCACTATATCAACATCAGGTATAAATACATATATTATTACACAGTAGCAGACGCGTCTGTATATATGTAACTGGTAATATAGTTCACATACATTTTTCACAGCACGCTGCTCACGCAACAGACTTTCCCCTAGCAAGGGGACATACAACATACAAGGTGGGGACAGACCACATTTTCACTTGTACATACGGCACTTCATGGGTTAAGATTGATACAGATTTAACCAGTATGGCTACGATGTTTAATATTTACACATCATGGCACTTTACTTTTCACATATACTGTACGTACCGTGTTTCTCCGAAAATAAGACCGGGTCTTATATTAATTTTAGTCCCAAAAAACACACTAGGGCTTATTTTCAGGGTAGGGCTTATTTATTTATGGTACCGGTATGTACATTGAACCCCCCCTTTAATTAATCCACCCCCTTTAATTAATCTTTAATTAATCCACACCCTCCTTTAATAAATCCACCCCAATAAATCCACCCCAATAATAAATCACCCAAATAAATCCAGCCCCTCTAATTAATCCACCCTCGCTTCAGTGATACCCCCCTCTAATTAATCCACTTACCCCTCCCTAATTAATCACCCCCTCTAATAAATCCACCCCCTCCTAATAAATCCACCCCTTTAATTAATCCACCCCCCTTTAATTAATCCACCCCTCGCTAATTAATCCACCCCTCCTTTACAATTAATCCACCCCCTCTAATAAATCCACCCCTCCTTTTAATTAATCACCCCTCCTTTAATTAATCCACCCCTCCTTTAATTAATCCACCCCCCCTAATAAATCCACCCCCTCTAATAAATCCACCCCCCGTTTAATTAATCCAACCCCCCTTTAATAAATCCACCCCCCTCTAATTAATCCAGCCCCCCCTTTAATTAATTCACCGCCCCCTTTAATTAATTCAGTCCCAGACATAAAATATCTACTCACATTTCAAAGATGCCTTCCTTGCCTGCCGAGTCCGACCACTGGGTGCCTCACCGCCCGGAAATGGATCCTTCCGCTGAAGATCCGTGAAGGCAGACTGACGACGCTGCGCACGTCGTCATCACGTTGCGCGATGCCGCGGCCTGCAACGCGCCTCCTCCTCCTCATAGAAGAAGGAAGTCCCGCCGGGCCGAAAGGTACAATGCCTAGGTCTTATTTTCGGGGTAGGGCTTATATTGCAGCCCACCCCGAAAATTCAGCTAGGTCTTATTTTCGGGGTAGGGTGTATTTTCGGGGAAACACGGTATCTAGCCATTGGAGCTCTTTTATATAAAGTGCTTGGCTAGATGGTCCGTGAGCTTACAATTTAAAGGATACCAGGGGGATTTGAGACAAGAGGTAGCAGGGAGAGTTTGGATGTGATGGCTGGAAGAGTTAACAGGGCAGCTATTGGTAAGATACAAAGGGAATGAAGAGGTAATTGAGTGAGAATCTCAAACAGCTGGATAGGCATGCTTTATATTTAGGGGAAGCCTGGGTGGGCAGGAAGTGGGGAGAAAAAAAATGCAGTCTTTCACTGAGTTCAGTGTGACGCGAGGCCTGAATAACAGAGAATGAGATGGAGCAGTCATATGAAGGTATTTACAACTGGGGAGGAGAAAGAGAAAGGGAGAGGGGGTGGGGGGTAGAGTAGCCTTGTGTTATATACTATTGAAAAGTTTAGCAACCAAATTCTATCACCCAAACTATTAATAACTGTCTACATGAAATATTGGTCAGAAACATTAAATGACTGTAGTACAAAGTGCATGCACAGAAAATTTACAGTGGAAAATGGTATACAGTGGTATAAATGGTAACAAATCTATAGTAACACATGATAATATGTTAGCAATCCAGGAATATATGAGGTGGAGTATCTTCCAAGCTTCAGTCAGTACCTGAGGGTGGTAGGTGTTTCACTGCAGGATGTTAAATGCAGTCTTTCACTGAGTTCAGTGTGATGTGAGGCCTGAGGGTGGTAGGTGTTTCACTGCAGGATGCCAGTTGTGGCTTAAATCTTTCTTGGTCTACCTGACCTTGGCTTGGTATCAAGAGATTCCTGAATTATCCACTTCTTAAAGAGTGATTGAACAGTTGAATAGTTCTGACTGTCATTTTCAAGGCTTTGGATATCTTTTTATATCCTTTTACATCTTTAGAAAGTTCCATTACCTTGTTACGCAAATGTCTTTTGACAGTTCTTTTCTGTTCCTCATGGCTCAGTATCTAGCCTGCTCAGTGCATCCACGGGAGAGCTAACAAACTCATTGACTATGTACAGACACTAATTGCAATTTAAATCTTTAATTGCCTTTTTTAACCTGTGGGTGTAACCTTGTGTGTCTGTAACAAGGCCAAACACTTAAGGGTATGTCAAGTTTTGATGAGGGCCATTTGGGGGATTCAGGTTATCATTATGATTTAAAAAGGACAACTATGTGATAATAAATAGCTTAATATGACTACTATCCTTCAAAAAAATAAAATGTTTTTTTTGCATGATCAGTCATATCTTCAAAATCAATGTTAAAATGTCACAATATCTGCCAGGGTATGCAAACTTTTGAACACAATTATAGCAAATGAAATGATACCTAACAAAGTTTGAACCATGATAACAAACACTCAAATTTGCAAATTTAAACAAATTAATAAAATGTAACAAAGTGCAAAGATCACCCACCAATTCACAGTGAAAATAGTGACTTCTCTTTAGTGGTCCATATAAAATAATTTTGTAATTAAATTTTTTTTTCAATTTTTAAAAATAGTTTATTTTTTACAGCATAATTTTTTACGGCAGTCCACTATTATACAGAATTGTGTTTGATTTACCGTCGACAATTTTGGTATTTTGATATCAGAAAGTAATTGTGCTTTTAGAAGCAATATTCTTTGTTAAGAAAACTCTTATTTTATCACATCTTGTGGACTGTTTAGCTTGACATCAATATGATGGTATTTAAAAAAAAAATTTTTTATTGTGTCACTGAAATATTTTCTCTTCACATTTAGTTTACGCCAAATGCTTGTTATGGTCTTTTTAGAGTTGTCTATCATTTAGGGAATAGTTGTGATTCCATTATGTCTTATACTCTTAATGATTTTTGAACATTTAAATTCCATTGTTATCTACACTTTGTTCTCTTATCAATACAGTACCGTAATACAAAAAGTATATGGCTCGATCCTCATTTTCCTACAGAGCACCGCTATAATGGAATAACCTCACGGACACTTTCAAATCTTTCCCCAGCCTAAAATCCTTTAAGAGATCTCTGTCAACATATCTCAATACAGAATGCACCTGTAATCATGGTTGATTATATTTCTTATCTGTTCGGTGTCAAATTTATATACACGTGTATTTCAATATTATTTTGTAATTGTAATATTATGTTGTAGCCTACTGTAACAATTAATTGTTTGTGGGCCCAGGACATACCTAAAACTAAGAGAAATCTCAATGTATCCTTCCTGGTTGTGGCAAACCTAGCCACTTGGGACTGCCTAAGATAGAATGGTTGTGCCTATTTTCAGTTGTGTACTGCGCGCCGGTATAGTGTGGCGTCTCCGGCTATGTTTAATTTATGCTGTACTGTGTATGTCTGTTCGAATCCTCCCCATTCGTTAGCATTGCTATTAAAACTGACTAAGTTGTATATTTTGAAGTAGAAAGGTAACGGTTTATGTCCTCGTAGTTTTCATTACTGTATGTTACAGCAGGGGCTGTTGGGAGGAGGACCTGGAAACGGTAGTCTCCCTCCAGTCCCCTCAACCAAAACCCCTGCTGCCCATCTTTGGAAACCCCTGTTGAGTGACCTGCTTTAAATATCAGTTATTTTTAATAAAGTGACAGTTGAGTGACCTGCTTTAAATATCAGTCTTTTTGAATAAAGTGGCAGTTGACTCTCAGACTGTGTTTCGTCTGGTTCTTGGGAGGATTTGGGAATATTGCCTGCTTCCAGCTTTGTACTTGGTTATTGCATTCTACCAGCAGAGATCCTGGGATTATAAAATTGCAGCTCCGCAACAATTGGTGGCAAGCGGCGGGATCCAACCGTACAGCAGGAAAAACGCTGTTTATACAATTGGAATTGACATACTGGAAAGCAGAAGGCAATTGATACAGATGCAGAAGTGAATGGGGACGGACTACACCATATTGAAACGGCAAACGTTAAAGGAGCTGTTGGAAGCCAGGGGTAAGATAGCCAGCAATAAGCCTAAAGCAAGACTTATTGCCGAGCTAATGGAAGGAGACCGAGCTCGTAGTGCTACACCCCCAGCAAACATGGAGGAGACCCCATTTGAACGAGAAATGAGGACAAGATTGGCATTTTGGCCCGCTCCAGTATCTCCAGAAATTATGACCATAATTTCGGCGGATGCACAGGAGTACGTGATGGCGCAAAGGAATCAAGCCTTCTCACCTCAAGCAGAAACCGCTGCTGTTTCAACTGTGGGCCAGGGAAGGCCAAAAATACCACATCATGCATTTAAAACTTTTTGCGAGGATAAAGACGAAATAGATGGATTCTTGCAAGATTTTGAAAGATTGTGTGACTTGCATGATGTAGAGCAAGCTATGTGGGTACCTTTGTTGGCAGGCAAACTGTCTGGGCGTGCAGCAGACGCCTACCGGGCTGTACCCAGAGAGGACAGCAAGAATTATGACAAGGTAAAGCAGGCGCTATTAGAAAGGTATGCCATTACCCCAGAGGCATACCGGCGCAAGTTCCGAGAATTGAAAAAAGGGGACAAAGACTCACATGCGGAGTGGGCACACAAGCTTGACCAAGCCTCACAAGGCTGGATACAAGCCAGCAGAGCTACCACCATGGAAGAGTTACGCCAGATGTTGCTACTGGAGCAGTTTTGTAATGGCCTGGCACCAGAGGCTCAAGAATGGGTGAATGACCGAAATCCTCACACCCTAACCGAAGCGGCACGATTGGCCGACCAACATTATGATGCTAGGAGGCATCATAAAAATAATAACCGAGGGTATGCAAAACCCAACCCGCAACCGTTTCCAGTTATTGCTCCTGCCCCAGCGACAGCACCATCCAGACCAGCACTTGTGGGACAACCTCCCCACTCCCGTTATAATGGCAGGTCCAACATCCAGTGCCATGCCTGTAAGCAATGGGGGCACATGGCCCGGGAGTGCACCCAAAACCGGAGCCGCAAGAACTGGAATCAGCTCCGGCAGAATATGGCCCCGCGGGCAGCTGCTCATTATTATCATGCAGAGCCAACTTTGCCAGGAGTGCCGCTTGAGTCGGCTGATGAACCCCTGGGCGTTTTGCACGATGTAATGTCCATCCATGCTACTGACAACCGACAACCACATTGCCAGACCGTGACTCTGGAAGGGAAAGAGGTACAGGGGCTACGTGATTCCGGCGCTACCTTAACTTTGGTTGCCCCGCATTTGGTGTCAGGATCAGCACATACCGGGGGATCGGTAGCAGTCCGGGTAGCAGGGGGTGCCATGTACCGGCTACCAACTGCCAAGGTACATCTGAATTGGGGTGCGGGGGAAGGTATGGTGGAGGTGGGGCTGATGCACAAGTTACCAGCTGATGTTGTTTTGGGGAATGACCTGGGGCAAATGACTTCCGCTTTTGTGCCCCAAAGTCCTCGCCATGAGGCATATCCAGTGACCACCCGTCAGCAGGCTCGCACCACGGCTTCATCTTCCACACACTCTGAGGCTCAGGTAAGAGACAATGTACCCCGTGTAACCCGTGTTTCCTGGGATACCCCGACTGACTTTGAGGCAGAGGTTAAAAACGATCCCACGTTGCAAATTTATAAGGATAAGGCGACAGCTGGTCAGACAGGTTTAGAGGGAGAACAGTATGTATGGGAGAAAAATCTGTTATATCGTGTTGCTGAGCGGGTGGTAGGGGGGTCTGTACATGTGACTAATAAGCAGCTTATAGTGCCCCAGAAATACCGGCAGGAACTGCTTAGAATTGCCCACGATATTCCGCTGTCTGGGCATTTAGGGATGACAAGAACGAGGTACAGATTGACACATGCATTTTTCTGGCCAGGTATATCTAGAGATGTGAGACAGTATTGTCAGACATGTGACATTTGTCAGAGAGTGGGAAAAAGGGGTGACCGCCACAAAGCGAAATTGTGCCCCCTTCCCATTATTGAAGAACCCTTTAGCAGAGTAGCAGTGGATATAGTAGGACCACTGTCCAAGCCTAGCCCTTCCGGCAAGCGGTATATTCTGACCATTGTAGATTATGCCACCCGGTACCCGGAGGCTATAGCCCTTTCCAATATACAAGCAGAAACGGTAGCCGAAGCTATGATGAAGATATTTTCCAGGATGGGATTTCCCCAAGAGATAATTTCGGATAGGGGGACCCAATTTACAGCCGAAGTGACCCACCAGCTATGGAAGTTATGTGGCATTAAGCCAATTGTAAATTCTGCCTATCACCCGCAGTCCAATGGGTTGTGTGAGCGCTTTAACGGTACCTTGAAGCAGATGCTCAGGACATTTGGGGAGTCCCATAAAGACTGGGAGAGGTTTTTACCCCATCTGCTTTTTGCGTACCGAGAAGTGCCACAGGAATCTACCGGCTTCTCTCCGTTTGAGTTATTGTTTGGGAGAAGGGTGAGGGGACCCCTAGACTTAATTAGAGAACATTGGGAGGGGGGGAGCAGTGCAGATGGAGTCCCCATTGTGCCATACGTGCTGGAGTTCCGGGACCGCTTGGAGGCTCTAACCCAAACCGTACGGGAGAACCTCCGGGCGGCTCAGCGGCGACAGCGCCGGTGGTACGATAGGGGAGCCAGAGACCGTAGCTTTCAGGTGGGACAGAAAGTTCTAATTTTGAAACCTGTCCGCACAGACAAGCTACAGGCCACCTGGCAGGGCCCATACCAAGTGGTAGAACAGAGATGTGACACCACTTATGTGATCGGCCCGTGCTCTGGGGTAGGGAAACGACGCAT